AAAGTTGCCGGGGGAACCCGAGGAACAAGAGGATCTTTCTAATGGATTGTTTCAAGTAATCTTTCTCCTCTTTTGGTGACGAGCAATTGGTAATTCTTGACGATCGTTACCAACCGAATGACAAAGGAACCATCTTGACGATTTATGCCCCCCTTATTGGTTCTTACGCAAAGCAATGGCCACGTCTCACGACTCCGAATCGCATGTCCGTTTGGTCCAACGAGCATCCTCATAATAAGTACGAGTACGTGTATAGTTTGCGAGCATCAAATCATAAACCCGACAGATTCTTGCTTCCGGGAGAATCAAGCGGTCCAAGCCTTCTGCCGACTTTGGGTGGCAACATCGTGGAGGGAAAATCACGTGGGGAGATACTCTTAAACTTTGCGGCGGCTTTCAATTTTTTAAAGGGTACTGGGAATGGACCGAAGACGTTCTCAGTCGTTGCCAGCACAAGCTAATGTCCGCGAAGATCTATGATCTTGTATATGCTTCCCTCTTCATGTACGACTACAATTCCGAAGTTATGAAGGCGTTCTTCGAGGCATGGTGTCCGACTACAAATACTCTCTTGACGTCTCCTGGAGAAATGTCTATCTCTTTATGGGATTTGCACACCCTCTCCGGGCTACCGTTAACCGGGCTCCTTTACGATGAAGTTGTCCCTGCTTCTCAAGAACTCGTTGGTTTCGATGCAAATGGTGTTCGATATTCTCACCGTTCCTGCCGATATCTATTCCATGCCTACCACTTACTTCGGAAGCGCTCTAAAGATCCGTCCTCCAATGTCTCTGTCGAAAGCTGGATTCAGTTTTGGTCGAAGAAACAGAAAAAATACACTCAACCTCCTCCGCGCAAAGAAAAGAAGGGTGTTCGCCCCAAGTCAACTCACAATCCTTCCGGCAATATTGAAGCACATGCAAAATGGATCAACATTGAACAAGCTGTGTTTTCGAGCATTAGCGTTGATATCGAACTGAGGTCCCAGACATACTTGGCAGCCCATTTGGCTTGTTGGCTTTGCACCTTCGTTCTCCCCACTGATGATGTGGGCATGATACGTAGTTCAACGTTCAAGATGGCTAACATAATGGCGAGTGGCGAAGAAGTCTCTCTTGCAGTTCTTGTCTTAGGAAGCATCTTCAACGGCATAAATAGGATCTCGAGATCCTTAAGACCCCATCAAGAGAACTCTCCGTTTCCTATTCACTTCGTCTATAGTTGGTTGACGCTTTATTTCAAGACCCATTGTCAAGTTCTGCAAGGCATAGCCGTAGATGGCCCAAAGATGATATCTTATTCCGGAGAAGGAAGCGCTAGATACTACACTCCCGCGGATGCACACAAACGAATTCACAAATGAGATCTTATGTCTTGGACTTGCACCACGATCCCTAGGAGCGAGTCTTCTTTATATGCTGATGATGGAACAACAAAAGGGTCCGAGAGAAATTATTTCATCGCCATTCGCTCGAGCTATCTCTCCTTGCGGCGTGGTAATCGTTTCGTTATTGAGCCCTATAGTCCTCATCGGTTTAGCTGTCAATTTGGGTATTACCAAGATGTGCCCTGAGTACTTGATGAAGACGTTCGCGAGGCTTCTTTAATAGACGGACTCCGTTATTGGCGTCTATGTGTTTTGCTCGAGTCCATGTCTAAAGTGATATTTTCCATCATTCCTCAAAATCCGAGAAAGTTTCACACGGACGGCTATAAGAGATGGTGGACTAAAGCTTACGGAACTTATCTTGAAAATAAAGCTACGAGTCTGATGAACTTGGAGTTAAGTAAGATTTCACTTGAAGACAAAGAAGATGAGGCAAGAAATAGTCTCGGCAATCTTTCTCGCGAAAATATGCTCCAAACCAAAAACCCTCCTAGAGATATAAAGAAGAGGAACATTTTGCCTCCATTGGATGAGAGTGACGATAGCCACATAGAACGTCATTGGAAAAGGCCGAAGAGGGACCAACAATCTTCAAAACCACAAGATCTTCATATTGATAACAGCGTGGACAGTCATTCTCGAACAAATGACACTTTTGCTGAGAAGGTTGCACTTAACACTTTCCTTTTTTTTTTTTTTTTTTTTTATTTTATATATTATTATCTTGTCTTAATGATTTTTTTTAGTTGGAAAATGAAATAATTTACGTTGACGATCGCGAGGAATCTCAAGCTAGTCATCACTCAACTGCCAAGGCTTGCTCAATGGGTGCAGCTTCGTCACCGACTGCTTTGATGCCTGCCAGAACATCCAAGATGAAAGAGACCGCGAAAGGGTCGTACAATGGTGCTTGTTCAGTTTTTGTGGGTGAAAATTTCCTGAAAAATCACAAGCGGGTTTTTCTTCGCCAATTATGGCAAGATCTTCGTGCGAGGATAGTACGGACTTCAATTGATTCCATTTCGTCTATTCAAGAAGATGTCCAATTAGTTCTTGGAACCATGAGGGATCTTGGTGATTTCGACATATCTTTCATAGAGGAATTATTGAAGTCATTATTTTCCCAGGCGACGGCTTATGATAAGGTGAGGTCGTCGAACTCTGGGAAGGAATCTAAAGAGATTCTAGCACGACAATTAGATGAGGCTAAAGATCGTTTGCATACTACTCAAGCTAGAGAACACAAAGAGACTCTTCAAGTTCAAGTCACCAATAATGATTTGGGGAGTGTCAAGAAAGAGCGTGCTGCTTTGAAGGTGAGGGTGGGACAGTTGAGATCATCATTAAAATGACAACGAGAACTCCTTCATACCGTTCAAACTGAAATTCGTGAGATTAACGAAGAGATTGCTGCCATTGAAAATACATCCCCTTTAAGTGATGATTTGGTAGAAGAATTGCGCGCTTCTGCCGAGCTTTTAGAAGATGCCAAAGAAAAGTTGAACGATTTAGACCCTTTCGCTTGAAATAGATTTAGATTTTTTTTTTGTTTATTTCACTTTTATGATTCATGAAATAAAAAAAATCTCCTTTTCCATCTTGCTCCCTTAGTATTCTGCATTAATATTTTCAACGATTTTTTTTTTTAGGAAATGACTGAACTTAGAGAAGACGAGCTTGGTAGCATTCAATACTTTGTTGTGCCTCTAATCTTTTCTCGTCAAGAGCTTCCAATTCTGCAAGACGCAAACGGGCATTTTCTTCTTGAGTGAGTTCTTCTCGTATAGTTATCCTCAATGATGGAATTTGTTTTTCAAGAGGCAAGACTGCTTCCACACCGTACACCAACGCATATGGAGTGGCTTGAGTAGGTGTTCTATACGTTGTTCTATAAGCCCATAAATCTTCTCCCATCCTTTCGTGCCAATCACGTTTTGACTTGGCGATCACACTACACCACAGACTGTCATCTATAGCGTTTTCAAAATGCTATCGTAGCCTATGATAGCGTTTTTGAAAACGCTATTTCTGCCGGAGCTATAATAGATACCGGAGATTTCATAGCGTTTTCCTGTCGCTATGGTAAAAAACACTACAACAGCGATCCGTCAACGCTATTTTAACCTCTATAATAGCGTTTTCAATGCGCAATAATAGATTCTAATATAGGACCAGACAGACGCTATTGTAAGTTTTTTAATAGCGACTAAGTAATGCTATTACAAATACTATAACCACAAAAATATGGCGCTATTGTACATTTTGCAAGAGCGCATATGAAGTGCTATAATAAACTATAGTATGACAACTATAGTGTGCTATGGTAAAACTCTAGAAAATCACATTGTAAACGCTATTATATGTTGTGGTTCAATCTTTTATAGCATTTTTTTTGAGTTGTGGTTTTCAATTAGGCAATTAGGTGTTATGGTTCAATCTTTTAATGTAATTAGTTATTACTATCACCATTTGCAATTGCTGCAATAACAACACGATAAATCACAATATTAAATACACATCGGATACTATTGTTCAATATAAGTAATGACTCATAAATTTTAATTACTAAAAAAACAAAGTACGTATTATGTTTGACGAAGTATCCTGGTAACTTTAACATCCGAGAACAACCTACTACGCTATTTAAAAAATAAACAATAAAAAAATATTTTACTCTAACATTCAGCTCCCAAAAAGGTTTCTAGTGACTGCCCATGCATGTTTACTTTTCTCCATTTTCTCTTTCTACTTCCTGTAAAAGTAAATCAAAAAAAAAAAAATATTAAATATATTTTACTCGTAAAGTACTACAAAGAAAGAGATACATAACATTTACCTAAATCAAGTGAATCAATCGATTTGCAATCCATAAATTACAATTTCGATGACAATATCAAATTAAGTACAATACGTGATTGGGGAAAAAAATTAAACTTAGAATCGAGAGAGTCTAATCGCTTACCGGTACTCTACAATATAACCACTTTATCTGTTGGCCATGCTACTGTAGTTCCTATGGCATCTTCAATGAACTCCATCTCAGAAGTAGATCTCCAGAGAGACGCGGCTGGGACTTTTGCTGTTTCTACCCAAACTCTCGTAGCATTAGGACCCAATGGAACAAAATGAACAACTTGACTTGGATCATTTGAGGACCATCGTCCTTCAGCAACAATTTGACCAGATCCACAAACATCCAATAACTTGCACTTTTTATTTACATTATTGGTGTTGACACTCTAAGAAATCAAACATTTATAAATTGAGAAATATGAATATTAGATGACCATATGTAAATAATTCATGATATAACATGCACACATTATTTTACCTGAGGAGATGAAAGATTTTCTTCTTCACTTTCTACTGTTTTCTCCAATATAACTCTATCTGCAGGCCAAGCTATTCTAGAATTGACAACATCTTTAATAAATCTCATATCAGCTGCAAGGGGCCGCCATAAACATGCTTCAGAAAATTTCGGAACATCCACCGAAACTATCATAGCATTGGGCCCAAGAGGAATGCCATTAACTAATGCATTTGGATCACTCGAATGCAAACGTCCTTCAGCAACTACTTCATCTTTCCCATTCCAATCCAGTAGTTTGCATTTATTCTTTGCATCAATCTATCAACAACAACGTATACAGTAGAAAGGCACATATGAAAAAATCGTACATAACCAAGAATCATCAGTCTAAAATCTTTTGCAAAATCGTAAATAACCAAGAATAACCAGTCTAAAATCTATTGCAAAATCTTACCTATTGCAAGAATAATTGTTAAAGGCACATATTAAAAAAAAAATCTTACCGATGCTACGAAATTATAATTTTCTTCCTCCCCAGACTCTTCATCAGATTGCAAAATTACTCGTTCGCTATGCCAAGCTATTGTTTTACCGCGAGCCTCTTTAATAAATGTCATATTAGGTGAAGGCCTCCACAAAAATGCATTTGGCTGAATTGGAACGTTAACCAAAACTTTTATTGCATTAGGTCCAAGCGGAATTTGATCTACAAGATCTTTGGGATCAAATGATACCACACGTCCTTCAGCAACAATCTCATTTGTTCCACCCCAATCTACTAACTTGCAATCAGGTCCAAAATTAGAATTTCCACCCTACAATTAATCAATAAGATTAATACGTTTATGGTATTTTGTAACGTATAAAACTAAGAAATGAGAATAAAATGAACTAAAAAATATACTTTTGAAGATGTTTTGTCCACCTCTTCACTCTGATGAACCTGCCACCACAAATTTTGATATAATTAAATAAAGCAAGATTTATTTTTAAATTTAATATGATTAATAGTAAATTACCTTATTTTTTCCTAATGCACTAACAATGTTCTCCAACTGCTTTATCCTGTTTTCCATCTGCGACACATACTTATTATGTGTTTGAAATAATGACAACTTAGTAATTGTCATTCCTCTTCCCATTCCTCTTACTCGTCCATATTTGTCTTGCCCCAATACTTTGGAAAGGGAATCATTCCTTATGTCAGTCCTTGAAGACGATGGTGACTCAGATTCTAATTCATTGAGCTTCTCCTGACATATAAAAAAAATTAATATGAGAAATTCACAAAAACTCGAAACACAAATTTAAACATAATTCCATAAAATAGATTAATGTGTAGTCTTACAATAGTTTCTGAAACCGCCGTGTTGATTGGTTTACCATCTTTTTTGGTGCGGGATTTAATCCAAACTTTAACCCTAGACACAGAAGTAGGATCTGCACTATCCTTTTTCTATTAAAAAAATAATAATATTAGCAACTAAACCTACAAAAATAAATTGTAGTTAATATGAAATATGCATTACCATGTCTTCTGCCAATCGAGCCATTCCTTTTCTGCTGCATGTGTGTGAGATCTGTTTGTGCCTAATTGCCTTGTATCTCTCACTTATAGTCTAAAATCATCATACATTAGTATAACTATGAAATTACATAATTTCAAACCTACACCAGCACTTTAATAAAAAAAAATATTGTAGTATTTATACCTTAAATGCAGGACTTGTCTTTTCTTTAATAAATTTTCTCCACTCTGCTCTAGTGTGAATGTTCCTAGGTTGCAGTTTAAGTCTATCTTCTTCATTGTTTGCATCTCTTATTTGTTTAACCAACCTCGATTTTGAGGCCCTCCATATGCATCCCATTGATTTCAATACAATTGCCTTTTGCCACTCTTCATCCAAGTCGAATCTCGCCTGAACAAGAAACATAAAGTAAATTAAATTTTTAAAGAAAGTATATGCAAATTATATTATAATGTAATGCTATAAAACACGAGTTATAGTATGCATCTATAAAGAGGATATACACCCAAATACCTGTTACTTGTATGTATGATGACTTTTATAAAAACGGAACATAATACCTGAATTGATTTCCATAACACTATCTTTTTGTCATCACCGAGATAACTCCAACTTTTGAGTGTTACTGGCACATGTTCCCTCACAAGTGGACCCATATAAGATGATAGTGTAACTGATCCTTTCCCAAATGGTTCGCCTTTGTCGGTAAACTCAACGTGCACCCTACTTCCCGGCTCAACTGCAATATCTTTCATTTTTGTTCGACCCCTTGCTTTCTTAAGTCCTTTTGACTTGTTTGATGAATCATGTGATATTGATGCATCTTCTTGGACCATGTTATTTTCAGAAATTGAATGGTCGTGTTGGACAACTGGTTCATCATGAATAGTATGACTAGGGACCTCCGTGGCTTCATAAACTTCCATATCAACATTCATAGTCTTAGATGTTTGTGTTGTCTGTTTAGAACGTTTTCGTTTCTTGGAAGTTCTCTTCTTAGTATGAAATTCCATAATTCCTAACCTGTTTCACAAAAATAAGTATATTAGCATGTCGAAAAAAAATGAGATATATATTTCACAAAAGCAAGAACAGTTGCATTCTGGAAAAAAAAAATCACGACCTTTAGAGATGAATAAACAAACAAAATAAGGGAGACTACCCTGTTTAGGAAAAAAAATTACTAAAGTGATGAAAAAAATGAACCTTGCTCAAAAGTAAACAATATTAATAAACAAATAAAAGTCACATATACTTAATTGTAAAATGTAAAATAAAAATAATATGAGAAGTCTTATAAACTGACATGATATTCATACAATTAATGTATGAATCATAAAACTAACTAAAATAAACTTTACTCAAGTATTCCTTCACAATCCTCCCTAACATATCTAATTTCATCATTTGACTCTTCAATGTCCAAGTCAACTTCGATTTCTCGAGGAAGTCCAGGGATATCTACGATTTCATTATCCTCATTAACTGCCTCTAAGTCATGAGCACTTCTTGGTGGTGCCTTCAGCACAACACACCAATTGGAGAGATCATCATCCCTCGAATAAAATACTTGTTTAGCTTGAGATGCTAAGATATATGGATCCCTCGCAAATGATACTTGACTTTGATTAAGGTTCACAAGAGTAAATCCATCTTCAAATTTAACACCATTACCCTTGTTTGCCCATTGACACCTAAAAATCGGAATACGAAAGACATGATAATCAAGTAATAATATATCTGTTATTAATCCATAATAGGTAACCAAATCAGACACTTGTGCATTATCTTTGGCGCTTGCCCTACACATGCTTGTTGCCTCATAAACCACTCCACTATTTTGAGTTTCTCGATCAATATCCTTTGTGTGAAACCGAAACCCATTGATAATATAACCAGTATAAGACAAAGCGTCGTCTCGTGGACCATATGCAATCCACTTTAATGTGTCTGAGTGATTCTTCGAATCAATAGGTATCTGTTAAATGTTAAAGAAGTTTCGATAAACATTTTGAACTTGCAAATAAATAAACAAAACTAAAAACTATTGGGAATATTCCTCTAACCTTTTTTTTTAACCATTCTGCAAATTTTTCAGTATGTTTATTCCAAAGCAAGGTTGCATCTTTCCTTAAGCGTATGTTTGATTCTTGCAATTCTCCCAAGTGCATGCTAAAAGAAAAACAAATCTAAGTCTTATGTTTTTGTTATAGATACTGAATAATAAATCATAACTTACTCTAAATATGGGTCTATCATTGCTGTATTCATTATAACAGCAAGGTGAGCAATTTTTTTTTCTTGATCACTTAGTGTTATTGATTTAGACCCTGATATTGGACGACCTTCGAGAATTACTTCATTATTCACACAATCATCATTGCGTACGTCTTTTTCTTCCACTCCTATTGTTTTTTTTAGAAAATCACTACAAAATCTTATACACTCTTCTCCAAGATAAGATTCAGCAATACACCCCTCCGGTTGTGCATAATTTCTTACGTAGTCCTTGATTACTTTCATATATCTGTAAGTAAACAATTTCTACATGATTTAGATATATACAAAGTGTACAAAATAAAGTGCATATTAAAATATATACCTCTCGAATGGATACATCCAACGAAATTGAACAGGTCCGCATAATCGAGCTTCTCTTCCTAAGTGAATTACTATGTGTACCATAATATCAAAAAATGAAGGTGGAAAATATCTTTCGAGCATGCACAACGTTTCTATAACCTCATCCTCTAAGAGTGCAATTTTGTCTCTATCAATAACACGTTGACATAACTTATTGAAGAAAATAGATAATCTATGTATTGCCTTTCTAGGACCTTTTGGAAGCAATCCTCGTAGAGCAATGGGAAGCAATTGTTGCATTAGAACATGATAATCATGAGACTTGAGGCCAATAACCTTGCATTCTTCCAATGACACACATTTGCCAATATTTGAGCAATAACCATCAGGTCCTTTGAAGTTATACAATCTCTCGCAAAATTTTTTTTTCTCTGATTTTGATAAGGTCCATGGAGCTGCTGGAAGGTAAGTTTTACTTCCTCGAGGTTGCGCATATAAATCCTTTCTTATTTGCATATTTTCTAAATCCTTCCGAGCATTGACCCCATCTCTTGACTTTCCACAATGTAGAATTGTACTTATTAAACTTTCACACACATTTTTCTCTACATGCATTACGTCTAAATTATGACGTAATGGAAGTTCCTATTAAAAGTGAATGCAACCCTCAGTATATATATTTTTATATAATTAAGTAAATGCAAAAGAGTATATTAATACTAACCTTCCAATATGGTAAGTCAAAGAATATGGATCTTTTCTTCCATCGCACTAGCTCATCTTGATCTGCATCATTTGTATCATTGCCAACTTCATCATCTTTGTCACCGTCTACGTTCTCATTCCTTTTTCTTTTTTGTTTTTTTAATTTTCCAAAATTATTTGGAAAATTTTCAAGAGCGGAAAAAATATTCCGACCTGTCAAGATTCTTGGCTTGCTCCCACTTTCTATATTATTATCAAACCACGATTTTTTTCTCCGATATGAATGGGAAGGCGGCAAAAATTTTCTATGTCCCATGTACGCAAATTTTCTACTATACTTTAACCATTGGTGATGTGTATTTTTCCCACAAAGAGGGCATGCCATTTTACCTTTAGTACAACATCCAGCAAGATTACCATAGGCTGGAAAATCATTTATGGTCCACAATAAAATTGCTCTAAGGTTAAAAATAGTTTTACTAAATGCATCATATGCCTCCACTCCATTGTGCCACAATGTTTGCAAGTCTTCTATTAGTGGTTGTAAATACACATCTATATCATTTCCAGGTTGTTTTGGACCTGGAATCAATAATGTCAACATAATGTTCTCTTTTTTCATGCACAACATAGGAGACAAATTGTACGTAACTAGCATTACAGGCCAACAACTATATCTGGAGCTTAACATAGAAAACGGGTTGAAACCATCAGTAGAAAGACCAAGTCTAAGATTTCGTGGTTCAGTAGCAAAAGATTCCCATTTATTATTCACTAAGTCCCACGTTATAGAATCAACTGGATGGTGCATTTTTCCATCGGTACTTTTATTGCTAAAGTGCCATCTCAAATCTTCAGCCATCTTTTCAGACCTGAACATTCTTTTAAATCTCGGAATTATAGGAAAATATCTTAAAACTTTAACCGGGACACCTTTTTTTATCACTTTGGTCCTCTTATTTATCTTCCATCTTGAATCACCACACTTGGGACAATTTTCCATGTCCTTGTACTCGTTTCGAAATAGGCAGCAATCGTTCGAACAAGCATGAATTTTTTCATACCCCATTCCAAACTCCTTAAGAAATTTTTTCATTAAATACAATGACTTTGGAAGTACATTATCCTCTGGAAGCAAGTCTGCTAATACACCAAGAAGTTCATTAAAACTTGTATCCGACCATCCACTATGAGTTTTAAGTCGGAATAAAGTTACAATGGCCGATAATTTATTGTATCGTGAGCCATTAGAATACAAAGGAGTTTCTGCATCTTTAAGGTTTGCCATAAAACTATCATCAGGTTTGCCTTCCATAGGCTCATTGTAGTCTTCGTTAACAAACTCACCAGACTTCACATAGTCTTCCTCCAGATAGTGGGTAGCTTTATATAAATTGAATGCCTCATTATTGACTATTTCATCTACTCTCTCTCCACTAGTCATTTGCTCTCCATGCTCATACCAATCATTTCTTTGTTTGTATTTGATGTCCATTCCTCTTGTTACTAAATGTTCGACAACAATATTACCGGATTGATGATCAACATTACGACAATCTATGCAAGGACATAAGATCATCTCAGGATTTCCTAAGTTTTTTATGACGGCTTCTACAAATTTCCATGCTCCAATCTCATACTCAGGATCAACTCTAATAAAATATAAACAACAAATACATTGAGACACAAGTTATTATTAAGACGCTAAAGTTTTCAATTTTTATGGTAATAATCAAAATACTATGTTACCTGTTAAGACGCACCCAACCTTTATCATACATCATGTTCCAAGTACCACTTACACAACTAAGTATAAAAAAAAAAAAAAAAAAAAACTGAAAACTACTTGTGAGTGTTTAAGAGAACCAGCTGAAAATAAGATACACAATTATCAACTTAACCAACAACAACAACAAATTACCATAACAAAAACAGGTCTAAAACCAAAACCAATACAAATTTGGGTCAAAAATGATAAAAGAATAACGTTTGCAGCACATTAGTATATAAATAACCAATTACAGGGTGAAATAGGTGCTTACCGTTCAAGAAAGTGGCCTCAATATCACCAACGATTCCAAGTTAAATTATCCATATCAGATTCTCTTGACTGAGGAAAGTTTAGTTAAAGAAAATTAAAGAGAATTTGTTAGTTGTCACAATAACGTTATCAATGAAATAAAAGATAACATGACATATATTTACCTGAGTTGCAAAAATATTTTAGCTGCCCATCTAGTTTTAACGGCATTGATTGATAAAACAGGCTAAATCCTTTATCTTTACTAAAACTCCTACAAAAAAAAAACATAACTAAGAATCAGTTTCGTATAAAACTGTCGGTGATAAATAGAAGCATACATATCACTTATATCCAAGAAATAACACCAATATTTTTTTTGGATAATATTATGCTTAATCTTATAAAAATACAGATGCATTGATATTATGACAATCTTATTTTTCATTCTCAGTTTTTATAACTCTCAGAAGTTCTTTGGGTTGTATTCATTTAGTCTATAGTTTTAAACCAAATTATAGGTCTAACACTAGATGCAAAGAAATATTAAAAATCGTAGTTAAGTAGGCTTAATCTTTCAAATTATTTTTCTCCGAAAACCCGTTTGGTTCATACTTGTTTTTTTCAATTGAACAGTAGTTTATATAAGTTATATCAACAAAACAAACATCAGCAATATTTGCCAGCGATAAAATCAATTCTCAACATTCCAAATTTACAATACTGCAATTGACAAGTGCATAATGCACGAATCACCAACAAATTACAAACACAGTCAACACAATTGAAGTATGCCTCTTTCAAATTATAAATAAATAAATAAATAAATAAATAAAAGAAAAAAAAATAAGAAAAGAGAAGAGAAGGGTCTGCCTCTTTCCTAAGGTTGGGAATTATGCCAGAATCACAGACTTAGAAAAACAATCAATGCTATTTTCCAAGTTTTGGCATAATAGAAGAATCACAAACTTATAAAAAAAAAATCCAACCAAATTGAAGCAAGTGTATCCTGATTTTGAAGAATTTAAATAGGAATACTTCAACATATTCAATTAAACTACCCCGTTTATGAAGAACAAAACATAAAACATATAGAAATTCATGTTAATCCCAAAAAAAAAAAAAAAAAAACAGTAGAGAGAATCGTATAATTACTTGTTTGGTAATTGTCCTCTGGTGCTCCAGCCCTCGTCGCCGTATATCCTCAAGAATTTCAAAGAATCAGTTTGAAGAGCCCTCGTGGTCGTATCTCCTCAAGAATCTCAGCAACTCGGTTTGAAGAAGAACAAATTGATTTTAGGAGTTTTCTGTGGCTATGTGGAATTAGGTTTTATGCGTGTGAAATTGAGTATTTAAGCGAAAATAGGATGTAGCTACCGACGAACTGAACGAACGCCCGAGTTTCTGCAAATCGATTTGAAGAAGAAGAAATTGATTTCTGGGTTTTTGTAATTAGGTTTATTCTTGTGAAAAGAAAAGAGGGGCTCTGTAAAGAAGATGAAGGGGACGATATATGACCGACAAAAAAAAATCAAATCTATTATATTCTATTATATTTAGGATACCGGGAAAATATTTTTTTTCCCCGCTAAAGTTTTAATAAATATTATAGCGTTTTATTTAAAGATTAGGAGCCCGATAAATTAAAAGCTATTATAGCATTTGTTTTAAGCAATTAAAAAATTAAAGATGAAACAATAGCACCTAACAAATAAACGCTATAATAATATGCTATCAAAAGTATATATTCTTGTAGTGTCACTTTCTTCAGCAAATTACATAAAGTTTTGTTGAAGGCCTCGGCGAGTCCATTGGCGGCAGCGTTGTACATTGAAGACTTTCTTTGCTTGAAGCCAAACTTTTCACAAAGTTTATCTATCACACCATTGCAGAATGGCTTTCCGTTGTCTATGATCACATATCGAGGAACTCCGTAACGTTAGATGATATTGATGCGGATGAAATCGGCAACGTTCTCCTTCTTTACTTCTCGAAGAGGCACTGCTTCAGCCCATTTGGAAAAGTAGTCTGTTGCCGCCAAGATATAGAGATGTCCAGCGGAAGACTTTGTCATAGGTCCAACCACATCCAAACCCCAAGCATCAAAGGGCCATGAGGCAACAGTAGGGTGTAATGGCTCCGGCGGTTGATGAATAAAGTTTGCATGAAATTGACAAGGTTGACATTTTTGGGCATACTCCATGCAATCCTTTACCATAGATGGCCAATAATAACCCATTCTTTTTATTCAGAAATGTAATTTGGGTCCTGACTGATGGGCGCTGCAAATTCCGGAATGAGCTTCTTCTATGGCTTGAACGGCTTCGTCATCACCTAAACATCTCAAGAAGACTCCATCAAATGAACGTCTGTAAAGTGTATCTTTGTAGTAGATGAAACGAGCCACACGACGTCGAATATCAACTCTTTGATGTGGATCATTTGGCAACTTTTCGTACTTCAAGTAATCCACAAATGATTGACGCCAATCTTCTTTCTCGATTTCAAACACGTAAACCACTCGAGTTTCGTCTTCTTCAATTTCTTCATGTTCAAAGATTGGTGGTACGACCCACCTCTTGAAAATTGATATATGAGCTCCGTCTTCGGGCATGGCTAAAGTAGAAGCAAGTTTTGCCAATGCATCCGCTTGTTTGTTATCCTTTCTAGGCACATGTTCTATCGTCACATCACCAAGGTATCCGATAAGTCTTTTAGCATAATCCACATAAGGGAGTAAATCGAGCTTCTTAACTTCGTATGATCCGAGTATCTGATTGATCACCAACTTGGAGTCTCCATATACCTCCAAATTTAGTTGTTTTATATCAACTGCCATTTCTAGCCCAAGGATAAGATCTTGATATTCAGCAACATTGTTAGAGCAATTTTGTGTTAAGGTAAAAGAGTGAGGTAACACTTCGCCGTTGGATGTGACAAATACTACTCCAGCGCCCGCTCCTTCTCTGTGAGAATGATCTGCCAAGAAATCGGCTAGAACTTGTCCTTTCACAGCCTTTTGTGGAATATATGTTATGTCAAACTGCTGCAATTGCAGTTACCACCTTGCGAGTTTGTCGGATAGGACGGGTTTTGACATGACATACTTTAGAGGATTCATTCTTGAGATTAGACGGACAATATGTGCTTGAAAATAATGCTTCAACTTTTGAATTGCAAAAATGAGCCCTAAGCATGTCTTTTCGATTGGTGAATAGTTCAATTTATTTGGTGTCATTGTTCTACTCAAGTAGTATAAGGCGCTCTCTTTTCCATCATCATTCTCCTGTGCTAGTAAAGCTCCGACAGATCGTTCTTGAGCAGCAATATAGAGTATTAACGATCGTTCGGGCACTAGCGCGATCAACACAGGAGGCTTCATTAAATACATTTTTTATGCTTTCAAAGGCACTAGTGCAAGCTTCATCCCATTCAAAGGGAACATCTTTCTTCATGAGTCGGCTGAATGGTTGACATCGACCGGCTAAGTTTGAAATGAACCTTCTTAGGTATGCCAACTTTCCTTGCAAACGTTTGAGCTCATGAATGTTCCTAGGCTCGCGAATCTTTAAAATTGCATCAATCTTGGCTTGTTCGATTTTTATGCGTCGATGACGAACTACGAATCCAAGAAACTTCCCCGAAGTAACACCAAATGCACATTTCAACGGATTCATCTCCAATTGGTACCTTCTCAAGCGCTCGAAGACTTTTCTCAAATTTTGGAGATGATCTTCCCTTCTTTTGGATTTAACCACCAAGTCATCCACATAACATTCAACATCTTTATGGAGCATGTCATCAAATATCTTCTGCATGGCTGTTTGGTATGTAGCACCAGCATTTTTCAAGCCAAACGGCATCACTTTATAGCAATAGATGCCCTTAGGAGTGCGAAAGGCTGTTAATTCTTCGTCTTTCGGCGCCATTCGTATTTGATTGTATTCGGACGACCCATCCATAATTGATAATGCTTCGTGGCTCGTAGTAGCATCAATCATTAGTTCGACTATTGGCATTGGAAAGTCGTCCTTAGGGCATGCTTCGTTCAAATCTCTAAAGTCAACACACACACGAATTTGTCCATTCTTCTTTCTAACATGGACGATACTTGAAATCCATGTTGGGTACTTGACTTTTCGAATGAAACCAACCTCAATAAGTTTGTTCACTTCAGCCTCAATTGCAGGGACTAATTCAGGTCTAAATCTACGTAGGCCTTGCTTCACAGGGCGAGCTCCTTTCTTCACGGAGAGATGATGTATTGCCACTTTTGGGTCCAATCCGGGCATTTCTTTATAAGACCATGCAAACACATCATTGAACTCGTGCAACAATTCAATATAAGTCTCCTCTTCGTTGACAGCCAGTAAAGTGCTAATGTAGATTGGTCGAGGATTCTCCGCATCTCCTAAATTAATTTCCTTTAACTCATCGATGGTGGCTTTGACTCTTTCTTTAAGCTCGGGTGGAGCAATTTCAGCGTCTTCTTCCTCAATCATGTCTATTTCACTTAAAGTGATATGATACGATGATGTCACACTTTCTCTGTCATCTTCCTCGTCGTCTTGGATTTTTGTAAAGACGACAGTTCGCATTTTAGCCTTCAACTCTTCACCACATGATATGGGTTTCCTTCATTTCAGAAGTTTTTTCTATTTCTATATCTCTTTCTTCTTCACTTTCCACCCTTTCTTCTGTTTCTTCTGTTTTTGAGTTTATTATTTTCAGTTTCTGAGTCAAAATGGGTGACGGTATTCTGCCTAAATAGTAGACACAGATAATAAATAAAAGAATACTAAAAATCCGAGCCATAGAATTTATCAATTCTGATACAAGGTACTTATTAGATCGAATGTACTTATTCGATCTAATAGAATGATTTTGCCGCATCCAGACTAATACCAATCCAAGCCATTTCATGAATAAAATGTAACCGTTTCGGTTTTCGGGTTTTCGGGTTTCGGGTTTTCGGGTTTAGGGTTTTCGGGTTTCGGGTTTCGGGTTTTCGGGTTTCGGGTTTCGGGTTTCGGGTTTCGGGTTTCGGGTTTCGGGTTTCGGGTTTCGG